TTTTGTTTCTACCAATCGTTCCTTTCTCTGGGTTTGGACACTGATTAATAATGATGTGCATGTTTCATTTTGATTGTTGTTAACATTTTGATTGCAATATTAAAAGTTAGTCACAATAACAGACTGCCTACAGGTTAATTTGTCCTCAAACATGTCTTACTGGTAAAACAGTAACAGTCTGCCTCTATTTGCCTTTCAACTTATATTTCTTTGGGTAACATGCAGGGCTGTTGCATACATTCCACTAACAGTCTTGGCAGTACCAGCTTCAGTACTTACTGTAAGCATTGGTCCGATGCCTTAGCAATTGTTGTTACTGCACTGTAATTCTTGTAGACTAATGATCTAGCATATGCTTTGCATACTTCACTTATAGTTTTCTTTTACTGTTATATTGTGCAATATCAATTCATGGTCTAGGGCAAAACAGAGAGGAAAGATTTTCAAAAAGAAATTTTGTATTTTTATTTAATTGCAAGTTTGCAACCTTATGTGATTCCTCATTTTAATGGTTCAGCTCGGTGGTGGTTATCTTTTTGGGCTACCTGTTGGCTTTGTTGCTGATTCAATTGGAGCCACTTTAGGTGCAGGGGCTGCTTTCCTTCTAGGAAGAACTGTATGTTTCTATCCTAAACTCTTGTATTGGAATTTCCTGGTTTTTTGAGTTTCTGAAAAAGGAGAAAATATTAATGCATTTATATGTGTGATTATGCGCGTGCTCTTCACTGATATTCCGTTCTCATTTATGTTCTCCCTCATTCATATGTAAATGCTTTGTTTGTATCTTGTCTTCTGCCCATTGGTCATAAATATAGTATCTATGCTTTCTTTATCTTATTCTTGAATACCCACGCAGATTGGGAGATCATTTGTTGTTTCAAGGTTGAAGGATTATCCTCAGTTCCGGGCAGTTGCAATTGCAATTCGGAGATCTGGATTTAAGGTTTGCTTGATTCATATTTCACCTTCAAAACGTGAATTGACATTCTCAGTATGCAAATTTAATGGTGTTTCAACTTGCATCTTATTGATTAATTTACCCAAATTTAATTGTTTTACAAATAGTAAACAATGAAGCATGGAAGTAGTGGAATGTTTACAGTGTAAAATGAATATTATCTATAGTATAAAGTAAATAGATGCTGATATTATTTGTTTCATTCTTTCTACAGATTGTTTTGTTGCTTCGTCTTGTTCCCTTGCTCCCATTCAACATGCTAAATTACCTCCTTTCTGTGACTCCTGTTCCAATAGGACAATACATGCTGGCTTCCTGGATAGGGATGATGGTATTTTCTTCACCCTCATTGAGGCACTACTTTTATGTGATTCCATCCCAACATCTTGTTATTCTATTTTGTTTCTTTCTAATCTTAAGTGACGAACACAATGCTTTTTGAAGATGCATAATGGAATATTGTCATGTTTATTGTCTCTTTTTTTGGATATATATGTTGGTCAAGATGGTTGTCTTAGTGTGTCTTTATAGGAATATAATTGTATGCTTGACTAGCAAGCTTTGTTCACGTTGTGAGGTTAGCAGTTACCCAGTTACTCCATGTGTTATACTTTGAGCTTTTAACATGCTGCCAATTCATCCATCATGACTTCTTGTGGTGTCTTTGGATTAGTATGCGATTAACATAACTTCCTTTGTTTTTTTATAAGCAACATTGTTACACTCAATTGCGAAAAAGGTTCAGCATCTTTTAGACATCGGTCATATAAATTTTTAAGGTATTACTGGAGAGTTGCATTGTGTTAAAAGGTGGTCTGCATATTCATGAACTTGTCAATTTAATATGTGATGCATATGCACGCTTCCATCTGTTCCAAGCTGATGTCAGCCTTTTGTTTGGACAATATGTAACCTCTGACCGTAAAATGTATTGGTAAAATACATGTATGAGTTCTGATTAGGGAACCTGTGTACAAATGCATGTACCTGAATCTGCAGGACTTGGATTTGCTTGAGGGAAAAATACATGTACTGTTAGAAATTTTTTGGCTTTATGGTTCTAGGTCCTACCGAGCTGAGTAGATTATCAATTGTTTGATCAACTCGTATTTTTGTTGCAACATATTTTCAGAGGACAAGTTGCCTGAGCAGGCTTCAAATACTTTAACACTTTTTGTTAAATAGATGTCTTTATCACAGATGGAGATTTTGATGTTAATGTGTTTGATATTGGTTCTGTTACAGCCAATAACATTTGCGCTAGTATATGTTGGAACAACTCTCAAGGATCTTTCTGATGTGACCCATGGATGGGGTGAATTTTCAAGGACCCGTTGGGTAAGAGTTATCTCATCTTTTATTTGTTCTGGACTGCTTGTAATTTTGTAATTTTTCAAATGATCTCACCTCAACATTGTTTACTGGGATTAAGTATCCGGGGCATGATGTGAGCACGTGTCCTAAAAGGGTGCATCATAACTGTTTATTATGGACATATAAGCTCTTTGAGAGCACAGTTTATGGATTTTCGAATGAGGCTTTGGGATATGTATATAGCATTGTTTCTTCGTTGTCTTTATCTCTGACATATGTTCACTCTGCTGTATTTTGTATGCAGGCTTTTATCATATTGGGCCTTGTAGTCTCTGGTAAGTTACAGCAGCTCAGCTAGCACACACTACCCTTTTTTTTTTCAGCCACCTTCTCTTCTTTTCCTTAGTGTAGTAGGAGCATCGGGACTGCTATGCTAGACCAAGATGTTTTAAGTTCTTACTATCATAACATGAAGCTTAATATACAAATGACATGTCAATGTAACAAAGAAGAAAGAAATGAGTGAAACGGGAGAACATGATTTTTGGACTTTGGCGCACTCTTAAGTTGGAATGGCAGTGTAGTTGGATTTACAGGTGTGTTAAATGGTTAAAGGGGGGAAAATTGGGACGGAAAATATATTAAAATTACTCCTGAAATTTGTCATGTTGGCTTGTGTGGTAGTCATTTATTAATTGTAGTTAAACAAAGCATTTTGATATTTCCGGTAAAGATTATGGACTAAGTGAAATTGCTACTACTGAAAAGGGCTAATAAGCAAAACTTGGTTAAACATTGTACTACAATTGAAGTTTCTGTAAATATATTGAAGTTTGAAATGTTCAGTTTGTCATCCTTTTTCTTTTTCTTTGGATTTTTTGCAGTGATTTTAATGATTTGTGTTACAAGAGTTGCCAAGGCCGCTTTGGAAAAAGCTTTGGCCGAAAATGAGGATATTGATAACATCGATATTATACCAGAGTTACCTGTTGTCTCCGAAACACCAGTGGATCTCGACCAGCCTCTTTTAATCAAGATAGACGCGTCTGACGACCATCATGAGAAATGAAATCCACGCTCTTTGTAAATTCTTCTTCCCACCTCCTCCTTTCAAAGTTTTATGCTCTATTAATACTGCAGCATCTGATAGTTATCATTTTGTTCCCTGTACAGCCTCCCATCCTTTAGATTTTGTATTTTGAACACATATGGGTTAACTTGACTATTAAGATTGAATTATTTGAGTGTAGCTTCTGTCTTTTTCAACTTGAAATGAAAGATTAAATAAATCATTGAGATCATTTTTGTGAGACTTGTTTGTTTGAAACGATTAATCTTTTTGCTCCCTACGCGTTAAGTGCTTATTCCGAATGTTATATCTTTATCAGAAGATTTGTTGTGCCCTATGTTTGTCCTCTTGGAAAGTTGGTCGAAATACGAGTCGCTTCTACCATTACTTTATTATAATGTTCTTTCTGCGCCGAACATCGACGATCTTATTCGCTGTGGTGCCAAGGTAATGTATCCGTCGGATATGATATTGTGAGCTACAATATGTCATGGTGGGTGGGTAATAGTCCGAAATTTGAAGATTTGGTTTGGTAAGAAATGAAGAAATTGATCCACCTGCAACGTATTTTTGGCGAAAAAGTTCAACCATCAGAAACACCAGCATCTACCCGAAAAAGTCACGAGAAGATACTATATATCACACGGGTGTATATCACCAACATCTTATAGCACTTATTGAAGTGAATCACTTGACGAGTGCTATAGGGGAATGGCGATATATATCCTCGGTTACACTCAAGTTTCTATCAAGAGTCATGACCCATGAAAGAAGTCCCAACTGCTTGTGGTCCAAATTACCAGGGTTTTAATATGCTGAAGATAGACATTGGAGTGAAATTGGGAAGCAAAAGGTGGTTGCTCTGAAACTTGAACAGGAGAATGACCAAATGGGAAGCAACATCATTTACACATGAGACCTCATCATTAAGCTTTGCGTGCAGTGTGGGTGCCATTTCTCTCTTTCTGCCTCCAAAACAAAGGAAAAAGCAGTCTCTACTATTTTTTTGATTAAGTTTTTGTCTCCACGTTTTCTAGGGTTGAATTTTTGGCCTTTTGGAGACCCTACCAATTCCTTAATGCAAGGGCTAACAATATTCTATCATGTCACATGATTACATATAGCCTCCCACAATTAGGAAACATTATTGTGTGAAACTAGAATACAATCACGTGGTATATTAGAAATTAAATTTCAGTTGCTTAGCTTATCAAAATTAAATATCGACGACATATCGATCAAATATTAACAAAATAAATTATGTTTCGACGACATACTGAAACACTCATTTTCCCATTCATATATACCATATTGAGAGTGAATGTCAATAATTTACATATAGATAAATTCGGATTGAGTATACCACGTGATTGGATTCCAGTACCACAAAAAATAATCACAACCATCCATTCAAGTAGAGGTAGCAAATCAATCCATTATGTTGTTAATGGGTGGTAAGACTCATATAGTTTGATTTCACCTTGCATCATCATCATCACTACGAATCTCACCTCTCTATTATGGTGATATCAAATTAAACGGGTCTTAATAGATACCTATTAACAACCTAATGTATTAATTTGCAACCTCTACATTCAAGAATGAGAAATTATATCATGAATTCACTTTATGGGGTGACTGAGAGGTTATATATGGATTTAAAGATGCCAAATAAGGGTGGTGTGAATCTTCTGCAACACGAGAAACCAAAAAGATGCACGTTGTCTTTAAGTCCAAGGTGACCAAAGTCACCAAACATTTCAAGTCTCTGAAATCAAAGATGCCCAGATTTGGTATCTTCCCAACTGGAGGGTGCTTTGATGGATGCAGGGATCACACACAGCAATCCTCAGGATTTGGAACTAGGGTTTGGAACCTGAGTGACAAGCCTGTGGAACTGCAGATAAGAGTTGGGTCCATACTAAAAAAGGTTCACACTTTGAAACCAGGCTCCTCAAAGAGGCTGAAGTGCAAGAGCATATACAAGGCCTATATGCCCGGCGGAGAGGGTGGCGGCAGCGGCGGTGGCAGCATGAGAGGCTTGCTGTATTACTATGACGAAACTTGCCACCCTTACGTTTGGATTCATGACACTGGTGGTGATACATTGAGGATGGTCAAGCAGCAGTATATCAGTCTTGAGGACCTCAGGGAGTGTTGTGAGATCAGGATTTTCAGGGATCATCAGAGAGGCTGCGTTTCGGTTCGGAAGAAACCGAGGCCGGATTTTTGCTGACGGGGGTTTGTTTTTGGCATCTGTTTTTGTAAGTTTGTATGTTATGTATTTGTAATGGCATTGTAAAAGTATACTAACTTTTAATGTCTTGGGATTTTTTTTTTCCTCTTCGGGGGTTTAATTTGTTTGTTTTATTGTGTGTGATTGAAGAATTCAGATGTTTTATGGTCAAATTATGAAGAGATGTGTAAGTAGCACAAAGATGTATATTACTGAATGAAATTGTTGCAGGTTTGGATTTGGTTTATCTTAATGTGTTGTTTGGTCATTAAGAAAAAACAAATAGGGAGAAGAAGAGAAAACTAAGAAAAATGAAAACTAAAAAACAAAATAGTAAGCAGCTAATTGACGGATGATTTATTGTTTTAATATATAATAATCTTATATATCATCGGTGATGTCATTGAGACAATATATTGATTGCAGGAGAATTTATTTAGTGATGATGCCATAATACTGCACATTTGCTGGCTTTGAACTGAAATTAATTGGTTAGCGTGTTGGTTGTGTAGTGTGTTTTCAGAGTTGATTTTGTTGCTGGATTCTTTTTGTCAAAAGGACTCAACCAAATATTTTGTATTAAAGTAAAAACAAGAAATTGTTGAAGAAGGCAGCTTTAGTTCTTTAAAATAAATAAATAAATAAATAAACAATAGAGTATTTCGTTATCAAGAAGACAATTTTAGTTGTTTAATTATACTTAGGATGTGTAAATACCGAAAAGTTATAAATACGGTAAGAAACATCACTTTTATGTGCTACCAATTAACGCGAATCATTCAAGTGCAACCATCAATAAAACAAACTTCCTCCCACTACTAGTCCATGAACTCTAGAATGTAAAACACCAATACTCTCACTCGAACTTCCCTCTCTTTGTTTAGGATGCCCAATTTGATGAGTACTAACTACTAACACACGGGACAAGCAATGCATTGGACAAGGGCAAAGATGGCCCGGAGGAAAAGATCCTTGGAGGATAACCAGTTATGGTATATCATTTGTACGTGAGGAGTTGGTTTTCACACCTTATTTTTAGTTTCTTACACATCTTTCTTTATGTATAGTCTTCAAATCGAATAAATCAAACAGAAACAACGAATATGTTTTTATATTGTTTGGACCTGATTTTACACCATCGACCCGAGTAATCAAGGCCGTTGAGTGAGCATGTTTCTTAACCGTCAGATAAGATAATTTGCTATTGTTAAGAGATAATATTATGGTTTTTAATCATAATAATTATCTTTTAATAAATTATCTCAATTTTCTTGTACAAAATAAGTGGGATGCAAATCACAACCTCAACGTAGAAGCAAACAGAACAGTCTGAGTTAATTTGGATTTGGTAGCAGTGTATTGTGTGAATTAGAACAGCTTGGCTTGGACTCTTCACGTGGCATAGCATGGATTTGCAAGTTTTGGATAATGGTGAATAGAAAACCTAAGTAGGTTAGGTTGATTGACAAGTAGTCAGAAATGAATTTTAAATGGTTTGAAATTCATTAAATGGGATCAGGATGTATGGATGAGTGATAGAATTATGACAAGAAAAGAAAGCCTAGCTAGGCTAGTTTTTAATTACGATGGGATAAGTCAAGGTGGGTTTTATTATCTTTGAAGAATCAACTATCTGAAGATAGGCTTTGGCACCGATGTCGCAGATCAGTTATTTTTACGAGTTTGAGTTTCAGTTGGTTTCTACTTATTATCCAGACCGTACTAAATAGAAAATATGTTCTTATAAATACAGACGCCGTGCAGCAGAAGGGGGACCCCCAATTCAACACACAATTGCCCTGCGCAAAACCTCTCAAACATCTTGAGATTTTTTATTTTCTTTTTCCGGCCGACACACCTTCAGTTTGGATAAACAGCACTGTTGCCGTAGAATCAGCCGACCGAGGAGCACATAAACAGCACTATTGCCGTAGAATCAGCCGACCGAGGAGCACATTCAGTTTGGATAAACAGCACTGCGTCGAGGCCGACTGGGTACCTATCCAATTCTCGGTTGAGAAGGGTTTTCGAATCCTTATTGGCAGAGGTCATCTTATTAGCCTTTTCGGCAAAGTAAAGTGTTACGAGTTACGACATTCGGCATACTAGACGCCGAGTGATTTTATGATTGGATACTCATAAGTGAGTTTCAGAGTTCGGCATTCTGACGGCCGAACCACATTCACCATCAAGACATACATCACCTTTGAATACTTGTGTCCGTATAGTCTACGTGCTTATACTCTTACAAATATAATCACTGTGACCGAGTCGGGTGCCGACGATTTGTGAACTTCGCAGAACTAGCAGCCTTGTCTTCAGGCTCGAGAATCCAAAGGCCGAGATTTGTTCTTTCCTTGGCTGCAATCGCAAGATAAAAAAGTCAGCAATGCGCTCAATGCAACATCAACAAATTTTACTCCTCGGCTTAGCTCGGCCGATGAGTTGGCACGCCCCGCATTCAACCGAAGGACGTAGTTAGCTTATTAGTTACTCGGCCTGCGCACCACGTAGGCTTTGTAATTTTTAGGGTCAACATATATATACAACAATATATTTACACTAAAAGCATGAAGGAATAAGTTCATTGCGAAATCTTTATTGTCGAGAATCGAATATAAGATATTTCACTTATAAGTGAAGATAAATTATATTAAACGGTAATACTAAATGGCAACAATGGCCATGACTAAATAGGGGCGAGTGAGACTAAAAAAGATGTGTGTGTATCATCATTTCCCTTGCAGTTGCGGTGATGGTGGTGGTGAAAAGGAAGGCGGAAGAGCAGTTTGGGCTTTTCGAGAGACCAGTGTCGCGAAAAGGCCTATGCCATCAATAGTAGACCGGGCATTGCCTGTAATCTTTGACACGAGGTTAACCTTGAAATGCAAGAACCTTACAAAACCAGAATACATATACAAATACATGCATTATTCGCCGCTAAAATGATATTTAAAAAAATTCGGTCATTTTTTAAATTATTAAACTAACAGATACCCACACACGTTGTGTGTGAATAAATTTCATTTCATTTCATTTCATTTTTTATTTTTTGAGTATGATTAATTTTTAAATTTGTTTTAAAAAATCAGTTATGAAAAATGGGATAATGATTGGGTAGTTTTTTTTAGAGTAATTGTGACAGCCCGTCCCAAATTATTTGTATCGTAGGTGTGAAATAACGATTTTGCCCTTGGTGGGCATTTGTCATTTTGGGGTGTTGTTTAATTGTTTTTGGGGGGTTGACTCTACATGACACACACACACACACACCCCCATCCCTTTCCTTTCCTCCGTGACTCTCTCTCTCTCCTTCTCACTTGTATGGACGGGACTCAAAACCCTTGCAAACGTGACGGATCGAAGTGGAAAATGTACCTTTGTGTTCGTGAGGACCATACAAGTTCAATCATACTAAATTCAGGTAAGGAATCCTTCGAGTTCACGTCGAACCATGAACCTCCGATTTTGTCACTGTTCATGCACAAGTGAAATATTGATTTTTAGGGAATATTTCGTCCAAAAGTGGAATATACCGTTATATATACCTGACGCCATTAGTATATTCCATCAAAGTTGACGGAATATTCCTTGTCTTCTCTGGTGAGTCTCGCCGGCCGCCGCCGTCTGCAACTCGAATTCTCGCCGGAAACTGGAAAATTTTCAAAACTTTATATCTTCTTCATTTCTCAACCAAATTCCTTCTTCATTGCTCAACCAAATTCCATGTAATTGGTACCAAAATGAAGCTTACAATAAGTAGAACAAAACCTTACCACTTTCAAGCCCTGAAATTCACAGAATCTCGCCGGAGAAATCTCGCAAAATCAGGCCAACCTTAAAACTTGCTATCCTGACGACCACTTTCACCCAACGAACCACTCCGAGCTTCCTGAGGACCTCACTAAGCTTCTTAAAAGCTTCAAATTCCCTAAAAATCAATATTTCACGTGTGCATGAACAGTGACAAAATCGGAGGTTCATGGTTCGACATGAAATTGAAGGATTCCTTACTTGAATTAGTATGATTGAACTCGTATGGTCCTCATGAACATAAAGGTACCATTTTCCACTTCGATCCGTCATGTTTGCAAAGGTTTTGAGTCCCGTCCGTACAAGTGAGAAGGAGAAAGATAGTCACGGGGGAAAAGAAAGGGATGGGTGTGTGTGTGTGTGTCCTGTAGAGTCAACGCCCCAAAAACAATTAAACAACACCCCAAAATGACAAATACCGACCAAGGGCAAAATCATCATTTCACACTTACGGTACAAATAATTCAGGACGGGCTGTCACAACTTACCCACCTTAAGAAATTTCGTCCTTGAAATTACACAACAATAATAACCCAAACACTAGTAACCATAAAACAAGCGGGGATACAGATCTCTCATCTGGCCTTCCGTCTCCAAAGTAGCCTCCTCCGCTGAGTGATTCCTCCACAAAACTTTCACTAAACTCACAGTCTTGTTCCTCATAACCTTTTCCTTCCAATCCAGAATCGTTACTGGTTCCTCGTCATATGTCAAATCCGGATTTATTTCCAATGGGTGAGGAGGTATCACCTGCGACGGATCCGCAACGTAATGACGAAGCATGGACACATGAAAAACATTGTGCACTTTAGCCAGGTCAAAAGGCAACTCAAGCCTGTAAGCAACTTTACAAATCGCTCGATGATCTGATATGGTCCGATATACCTGGGACTTAGGTTGCCTTTCTTTTCGAACCGTACTACACCTCTCCATGGTGAAAGCTTCAAAAACAACCAATCATCAACTTTATACACCCTGTCAGTGGCATGCATGTCTGCTAAGCTCTTTTGTTGATCCTGGGCCGTTTTCAGGTTAAACTTAATTACTTGAACATTCTGAGTAGTCTTATCTACAATCTCAGGGCCCACCAAAACTCTTTCTCCGACCTCTGACCAACACAAGGGTGTATGACAAGATTTACCTTACAGTGCCTCAAATGGTGACATGCTGATACTCGAATGAAAACTGTTGTTGTAGGCAAATTCCATTAAATCCAACTGCTTGTGCCAAGCGTCGCCAAACTGCAATACCGAAGATCTCAGCATATCTTCCAACGTCTGAATGGTTCTCTCTGATTGTCCATCTGTCTGAGGATGATATGCTATACTGTAAAGTAATCTCGTACCCAAAGCTTCCTAAAAAGCCACCCAAAATTTAGAAGTAAATCTAGGGCCACGATCCGAGACAATACTCACTAGAACACCATGGTACTTCACAATC